ATAATTTAAAGTTTTAAGAATTTTTTTTAATTGATTGCAGATTAGATTGGATTGGATGGGCGTAGATGAATCCGTGGATGCTCCCAAAAGTTGCTGCCTAATGGAAGTGCACTTGGCCGGCGAGCAGGTGGGCTTTAGAAGGAGGCACATTGACTGCCGACTGTCCTTTGCCCGTACCTCTTATTCATTTTGGTCTGGCTCTTGTCGTGTGCTCGTTCCTGATTGTTCGTCTTCTTGTGGCGGCAGGGATCTGTTTGGGTGCCCTGATCCTTGCCTTTGGTGGTTTGCTCCTGCAGCGATTTCACTAGGGAGCTTAGCAGTGCATCGGCTCGAGCATTGGCTTTGTCCTGGCAGTGAGACGACACCCCGAAAAGTCGCTTCAGCTCCTTGGCTTTCACAATCGAAGGTGACTTTGATGGGCCGTGTGCTCCTCCAGTGTGACGCTTCTTGCGATCCTTGCGGGCTGTGTGTTCCAGTTGCAGTGGCTCATTCTCCAGCTCCTGCAGCTCCATCTCGATCTTCTTCATTTCGGCTTGGACCTGAAGCCTAAAGCGATCCAACTGACGAATTTCCTGCTGCTTGTCTTCCATTTTCGTCTGCTGCATTTGAATGACGCTTCTGAACGAAGGAAGCTTGAAGTACTCCGCTCCACTGATCCTGTGCAGGCCACCAGTGTTCCGATTCTCTCCGTGGGCAGCGGATTCCGTTCCGCTGGAGCCAGAGGAGGAGGAGGTGCAGCAGTTATGCCGACGATGGAGCGTATCCAAGGACTCCATCTCATTGCCCACATCCTGTTCTACACTCAGATCATCCCGAGATTCGGAATCCGGTTCCGGGTGCGGGTGCGGCTCCGGGTGGTGTCCAGCCCTTGGTACTGCTCCTGTGGCTGCGCAACATTCTTTGCGATAATGAATGGTCACATCTGCCGGTGTTCGCTTGGGCGGCGACGCGCACGGATGACTTATCTCGGGGGCCGCTGACACACCGCGACCCTTTCGTATGCTGGGAAACCTCTCCGGCGTTTCCTGCCGCTCCCCATCCCCATTGAAGGAGCCGTACGGTGGCATCGGCATTGTTGCGAGGCCCCGAAACGTAGTCGTCGGCTCTACCGGCCATTTCTGCGCGGCTCTGAGCGGCTCGGTACCGTGCAATCGCTGCTGGGGTGGCTCGGATGGAGTGCGTTGGATTATCGCTGGAGTGGAGCTTACCCGCTCCTCTGCCACATTCCTCAATGAGCGAGCGGAAGCATTTTGAGTTTTCTTGGACACGGACTCTTGTGGTGGTTCCTCCAGCTCCGCCTCCGCTACCGCCTCGCTGTCCACAAACTGGGCAAAGAATGTTAGGCGCTGGCAGAAACTGCAGTTGTCCGAAACACACAACACTTCGCCGTTCTCCTCGGAGCCAGTCGCTGTGCGCCGCAACTGGTACTCCGGCGCAGCGTCGAGCTTGCTCTTTGTGAAGCCGCAAGCAGTGCACTTGAACATTTTGATTTAGTCACTGGGGGGTGGTGGGGCGGGGGGAAGTTTACCAAAAGACAAAAGACACTACCAGAAAATTTATAGCTAGAATTAGCTATCCGAACATTAAGACCAGAATTTAAAAACTGAATTTATGACAAAATTCTAGATCGAAGTGTCAACGATAGACTGATGAAGTCCAAAGTCCAAGTCACTGAGTAGACGTCGAAAGAACGGCAGATTGAAACGTAATTACACAGTCAGAGCAGCTCGAAAGCAGTGTGGATCGTGAGAGCGAACACAAGCCCGCTCTCAGAGAGCGCTAACAGTGAGCTGTCAAAGAGATCGGTAACAGTGTGCTGAGCTGTAGACGGGAGCGGTTACAGGCTGTTACCGCTCTCTGTCTCTCTGTGCTGCACAAAATGAATATCAACTGTGCACATGAACATATGTACATATGTAAGTATATTAAGCAGTCAAGCAGGTGGAAAGCAGGGTAATCCAAGATTTACTGGAAGCAGTGTATCCACGTACATTCATACAATAGTATGCGTATGTATATGCACATGTATATGCATAATTATTGCATTGATGAAAAAGAAATCTTTTGCACAAAAAGTATTGCAATATTTAATAGCACAACTCAATAGAAATAATTTAAAAGCTATCCAATTTAAGGTACAAGAAACTTCTCTTTATTTTTGAAGCTGAAGATACATACATATGTAAGTGGGAGCATATGGGAATGGGAATCGTTTGGAATCGTTGAACGTACATACATACATATGTATGTATGTATATTGTGACAGGGTGTGTGTGTGTGTACCCGGCATGTTCTTTGCTTGTTATGTTTGGTTTTGGTCGCTCGTTGCTCGTTTTCTGGTGTTCGTCTCCATCTTTTGCTTGTTTCACTTTGTGCACACTTTTTGCAATTAGGCGAAAAATTCAAATTCAAATCAATAGACAAGGAAAACTTTTGCTGCAGCACGTCGTCATGGTGGGCACGGGGAACGGGGAACGGGCATGGAAACGGGACCTGGACCTGGACCAAAAGCAACAGCAAGAGCAGGCCAATTGGCCAATGCCAGCGGCTGAGTACGTGTTCGGCCAAAAATAATACCGGTACCGGTTTTTCGATCCAACTCTGACTCTCCATTTCCAAGACCATGTACGGGTCTGATTCCGGCTGCGGGTATGGGTACGGGTATGGGTCCGGGTCGGTGCCTCCCCAAGGAGCTGCTGCTCGCTGCTGCAACAAGCGAAGATGCTGAAAGGACAACTCCCGGCCCAGACATATCTGGAGCTGAAGCCTGATGCTTTAGCCTGGGTCTGGCATTGAGGCTGAGGCTGATGCTGGGACTGGGGCTGTGGCTGCGACTGGGGCTGGGGGCTGGGGGCTGACGTTGGGGCTAATGTGATTTCGTACGTTCAATTTGTGAATTGCCTGGAACACTCGTCCAGGGGGCAGGCAGCAGGTCCTGGAGCAGAGTTCGAGCGGGGTGGGGGGGGGGTACAATATGTGCATAACTACGTGGCATGTGCATTTTGCTGGCTTTACTTGCCTCCTCTCCTCCTCCTGCCCCGCCCTCTTTTTTCACTCAGCTTTTGTGCGCGTTTTTTTTTTTTTTTTTTTTGTATTTTGGCGGCGACAGCAGCATCTTGCTCATTGTCGTGCAACAATTTTAACATGCAACATGAAGGCTGGGCTGCCGCTCCTTCAGGCACGAAGCGGGGCTGCGAATACCCTTGCTGGATGCTCGAGAGAGGGAGAGCGACATGGAACCATGCACCATGGAAAACAATAAGCTGTCAGTGGCAAAGTTTATGAGTTTTGAGTGCAATTTTTTTGTAGCCAAAAAAAGATTGAAAAGAAATTAGTTTGTTAGTTTGCTTCAAATGGCTTGCAATGGCTACATACCCGCAATATGCTAGGGTAGTAGATCCCAGAACAGCGGACTGTGAGGCAACAATGCTGTCAGCAACATGATTACCTACAGCACACAGACTCAGACACAGGGCAGGGTGAGGGCGAGGGCGAGGGCGAAGCTGGGGCAGATAACTTCACTGCACTGGGCCTGGCTCCATCCCTCTGGATGCTGCAGTTGAATGCAACTTGGGGCGAGGCGAGGGGAGGCGAGTCGAGGTGGTGGATTGTGTCAGTGCTAGAGTCGGAGTCGGAGTCGGAGTCAGATGCCAGCTGGAGTTGCATGCATTAAATGTAAGGCACTGTGCCAGACACACACACAAACACACACGCAGAGAGAAAGAAAGAGAACGATAGAGCTGGAAAGAGATGGAGCGATGGTGAGAGGGAGAGGCAGATAGACTGCGCCAGAAACATTATGCATTAAAATTAAGGGAAATTTATAATGAGCCAAAATTGTCGTTGCGATGCAATCGCCGCAATATATAATATATTGTACACATACATATTTTATATGCACATGAACCAAACCTACATACATATATCACAAATGCACACACACACACATGCATATGTATATTTGATGAATGCATGTGTGTGTGTGTGTGTGTGTGTGTTCATAGTCTGAACGTGATTCCGGCGCTGACTCCTGGACATTTTCCTTGTCCTCGTAATCGTACTCGTACTGGTCCAAGTCCTTGTCCACGCCCTGGTCCTGATTTCGGTCCTGGTCCTGAGGACCATTATTGGGGTAATTTATAATTTGTTCATTTAAATGATTAAAAGGGAAAAGGAAAAGGGAAAACAACCGAAAACGAGAACGGAACACAAGCCAACAGCCAATGTACAATACTGTACACTACATATACATATGTACGTGTGTGTATGTATGTATACATTAAAAAAAAAAAAAAGTGGGGGGGGGGGGGGGGGGGGGGGGGGGGGGGGGGGGGGGGGGGGGGGGGGGGGGGGGGGGGGGAGGAGGGGGGGGGGGGGGGGGGGGGGGGGGGGGGGGGGGGGGGGGGGGGGGGGGGGGGGGGGGGGGGGGGGGGGGGGGAAGGGGGGGGGGGGGGGGGGGGGGGGGGGGGGGGGGGGGGGGGGGGGGGGGGGGGGGGGGGGGGGGGGGGGGGGGGGGGGGGGGAGGGGGGGGGGGGGGGGGGGGGGGGGGCGGGGGGGAAAAAAAAAGCTTAAGCCGAAAGATATTTCATAATGATTAATTTAAAATTTTATTCTCGATTTTTTTGCACAACCTTTTGCTTTGTTTTTTTTTTTTGGGGTAATCGTCTCATAGCTGTCGCCACGCATTATAGATAATATCCAGTTTGGACAGTGCATCCACTAAATAATGCATACATAGATACATACATATGTCAACTTTGTCAATAATTTGCTACGCGTCTCTTCTGAAAATGCACACAAAATTATTCTATGAAATGAATTATTATTTGCTACCAACAATACTTTATTCACTGTTCATTTAATCCTAGCCGTTGGGCCACCTCTGGCGGCGAAGTACAGGGTGCAAAATGCTATCTAATGCTAACAATATTTTTACCAGCTTAAAAATTGTTTCTATCGGCTTTGCAATGTGCGTCACCCTATGCTTTGTGAGCCTGAAATATTGCTGATCAGATCACACTGCTCGAGTTCCGTAAATATTTCACACATAAAATTGGAATCCCAGGAATACATTTAAGGAGCTCACCAAATCCAGATTAAGCTGCTAATACAGGAACATAAACAGCACTGAGGTGCCATAAGGGTATGTGTTTATTCGCCTTTATTCATGGAAATATTTTGGCAGTTGTTTTTGCCTATTTCGGCTGGGTTGTTGTTTTTTCTAGTATTATTAGTGCTTCTTTGGTTTGGCTTTTATTGCTGAAATTGTTTATGAATTGGAAAATTAAATTCTTCACATTTTGCCCCGCCATTGGCTCCCTCCCACCGGCCCACGGGTCGGATGGAAGTTTATTTGCATGCAGAAAGTTCAATTCAAATTGCACGCTCCGTCGCACAGCTCCGTTCCACCCAAAACCCTCCCCCTTACACACATGGAGCGATGTACTTATATATACATACAAATATCGAGATTGTATGTGTGTATGTTGGGGTGCTACCCCCCGTTTGGGGCGTAGCCTTTGCCCGCCTGCCTGCCTGCCACTCCAACTGTGGCGACTATTGTTTCTATTGCAAAAAGGGCCAAAGAGTGTTTCCTTACGCAAACAAAATGAATGTGAGCTGAAGGAACATCAATTCGAAGTACTCTACGGGGGGAAGTTTATATATATATATATATATATATATATACATACACACACAATATATGTATATACCTGCTTAAACGATTCTCAAGCTCTGATTTCATTTCAATCGAATGCGTATGGCTATTCTTTTTTGTGTGCTGGTCTGGTTCTAAGAGTTATTGAGTCAATAAATTGCATTAAAAATTCCCAAAGCGCATAAAATAAAATAAAATAAAGAAAAATAGAGAATATCTAGGTACTGGGTTGTGGAATTAAAGGGAACAAAAGGGGTGTAACAGCAGTCTGTAGTTCGAGGCCCTGTAAAACATCCGCCAAATGCTCGTTTTGTTGTCGATATCAAAGGAACTGTCTGCATATGAAAGATCTCTATTGGATCTCTGGATAAGCAGCGATTTAATACGAAGAAAATACTGAAATGCCAGCACGTACTGAAAGATCAGTGCCCTGTTGTCTGATATTCATTTTGTACCTCAAATCATTAACTTTAAATTTATCTAGATGGGAGGGGGGGCGGCACACATAACAAATGCCCCGATCCTGATTGACCAACCAACGAATAAACAACCGAACAAACAACAGACCAGACCAGACCAGACAAACAATTCACACTCAACAAGCGAAGCAAATGAGTTTTGATTCATTTAGCGTAAAATGAAACCCCAAGCAGAAGCACTAGATGGCTGGATGGATGGCTGGATGGATGGATGCCAATGGGAGGGACAGTGGAGGAGGTCGAGTGTACGGTAACCAGAAGGGAAAATACAGAGAGCAGAGGTGCGGGCGCGGTCGTGGGCGTGGGCGTGGGCGAGAGAGAGAGTCAAACCATTCAGCTGTCATTTCATTATTTATACTGCTGATTAAATTTCCGCTTATACTCATTAAGTTCCATTGTCAAACCACTTCCGTTGAGGACAGGACACGAGACACAAACTGCACGGAAGGCAAACGTAGCAGAAGACAGGGCCAAGACCAGACAAGCAGACTAGACAGAGACCACATAGGGCTGTGCAGGGCAGGGCATAGCGGATGGGTGTGCTGGGGTGGGGTGGTGTGGGCTTGCTCGTGTTAGTGGGTGAGGATAACAAACTAATTAAGTCGACGGCAAACTGCAAAGGTGCTACCCAGACTTAGATGAGCTGCTGAGAGAGACAGTAACTTGAGTGGCTTGGCTTCTACTCCTCGAGGTGCGAAACTTCAACAGGAATCACTTGAAAATTGCAATCGGAGCGGCACAATTAACAAGATAACACCAACGGCACGGGAACGGCAACGGCAACGGCAACGGAAACGCTACAACTGCAGAATCGGAATACTCCAAACTAGAATTCAACTCATTCCAAAACTGAAATAGAATGGAGTTGCACAGTGCAGCGTAGTGGGGAGCGAGAGAGAGAGGCTGAGATGCACTCTGTAGCTGGCAAAAGACAATCAAAGCCTTGCAAATGATTTCGTATTGGGAAGCATGCCCCATGGGATGCCATCCTCCCCCAACAGCCAAGTGCCAGCCCAAAAGCCAAAATCACGCTTCGCAAATTAATTAAATAAGCGCATACCGAAAATGCAGTTAAAATCTGAACTGAGAGAAAATCGAAGAGTAGTAGGCAAAGATGCCAGCCAGAGATAGGGAAGGGCATGTGCCTGAATACATAAACGTAGAAGTTTCATCCAAATAAATGTTAGAAACTGGAAATAAAAGCAGTCTCACGACTGGTTTAATATTCGCTGCTAATTGTTGTACGTTATGTATTTGTAATCTTCAGATCTATGCAACTTATGGAATATTTTACTGCACTCCGACTGTCCGCTTGCCACCCAATCATACAGACAGACGGGCATTGCTATATTTGTTTATTTCTTTATGTATTATTATATTATATTATAATAGTAATAATATTATATTATATTATTAGAAATATCCAAGAAATATTTAAGAAAAACTTTCCAAGTGCATTAACACTAACATTGACAGCCAAACAGACAAATATTCCCTCAATCTGCACTTTTTAGTGCCACAAATATATAAACACATTTTTAGATTTCTTTTTTTTATTTACTTGCCCTAACAGTCCCATACATACATATATACAAATATTATCCCTGCCCAGAAAACACCTTTTGCCAATTATTGCACTTAGTGTAAGCCCCAGCCAATATTGGCCATACCAGTTCCAGATATATATCCGCAAATACTTGCCGAAAAATGTTCACGTTCTGCTTTTAAAGTTTTCCCCGCACAATTATTGGGAGCCAAAAAGGAGTGCACTTTTGAGCTTTTGTCTATATGCCGAAGGATCTTATCAGGGTTATCGCATCACAATGACAACTGCAACTTCCTTAAACACACACACACATAGCTGCAGACACGAACAGAGGGGCATACGACACGTTTGCCACGGATGGTTTTTGCTTATTAAAAATCAGCAAAAAAAAAAAATAAATGCATATTATTTTTATTTTATTTAATTTTTATTTAATTTAATTTTATTTATTTAAGACTGAAAAAAAAAAAATGTTAAGCGTAATACGTAAAAAAACTCAGCAAATTTATATTTCGTGTTTTTTTTTTAGCCAGGTACTGTTAGGACTTTAATTTTATTATAGAAATTATTTATTATATTTTATTAAATTTTATTTTTAATTTAAATAATAATACTTAGTTTAAGGCTATTTATTAGCATTAAATAATAATAATAATAATAGAAATTAGAAATTATTTATTTTATTTTTAATTTTAATAATAATACTTTTCCTTTAACTATTTATTAGCATTAACTAATAAAAATAATAAAAAATAAATACAAATAAATTATGCAATTTTGGTCACCGACAGTGATGCAAAAATTCTTGTCGGTGGAAAAGTGTTGGTGTGGCAAACAGCTTTAAGCTTGGCAAGCAACGGTAAATGCGCGCCAAGTGTCATTATCCTTTTTGGCTGGCACTCCATGTACACACACACACACACACACACACACACACACACTACAGACCACTGACGCCTGCACCGCCTTCGCCGTCAGGTTGCAAGCGTTAATATGCCACAAACACACACACACACACATCTGGAGACAGAGAGACACACACACAGACACACGCAGGCAAAGAGACGCAGAGGCACACACTCATGAAGTGCACGTGGCCATTGCCAAAACGACAGTCAGACAGAGAGACAGACGGACAGACAGACGGACAGAGACAGACATAAACCTACTCCCAAGGGGCGGTGCAGGGAGGGGGGGCAGTGGAAAAGCCAAGCCAAGTTTTAACCGCCAGCATCGCCGTCATCGTCATCGTCTTGCCTCGCCTCTTCTCCCTTGCCACGACATTAGCCAAAAGGTGCAACGATGTCGTCGTTGTCTTCTCCTAATTTCTGTGTTTGTGCTGCTTCATTGCATTCCCCCCACACCCCAATCCCCACACCACCACCGCCCGCTTACGCTCTGCTCTGTCTCTCTCTCTCGCTCTCGCTCTCTTTGCCACGCTCTGTGGCAGGAGGGGGGGCCTCTCCTTTGGCCTGTCGTCGATTTATTTTTCATTTAGTTTTGTTTTGATTTGCCGCCTTATTCATTGCGACAGCATTGCAGTAGTCCTAGTGGCAGAATCCAATCCCCCCCTCCGCCTCTCCAACCACTCCACCGCTCTGCTGCTGCTCCCTGCGTCGCTTACGTAATTTCCAGGATAAGCTGCAAAGTTACAACATTTTCAGCCTGCAGCAGCAAAAGGCAGCAGGAACAGGCAAGAGGCAAGAGCGGCAGGAGAGCGCCACCAGGAGCAGGAGCAGCAGGAGCAGCAGCTGCAGCATATGCTGCAACCGGAAGCAAATGTGCAGCAACAGCATCCAGGAGCGCAGAGCTTTCCACACACACAAAGAGAGAGCTCTCTCTCTTCTTGCGGCACGGCACTCTCTCTCTCTCCTCGCTCTCTCTCTCTCTCTTGCTGCCTGTCTCTCTTGCTGCCTGACTTTGAGCTTTCGCTTGTGACGTGACTGTGCTGCTGCCGCAACGCCGACTGCGCTGCTGCTGTTAAGTTTGCAGTTTGCCGGCTTGCGGCATGTTGCAAGAGGTGTTTCCCCAAATCAATGCCAGCTGCAGTCCAGCCCCCCAGTCCACCCTTAATCTGACCACTGCTGTTGTTTTGGGGCTGCAAGCGAAATTATTTGCAGTAAAACTGATCGGGAAAATTTTAGATTATAATGAAAATAAGCTATAAGGAATAATTAAAAAATATCATATGTACATATGTATGTAATGATCCACATACAAGTGGCACGAGAAATATTTTAAATTTAAAAAAAATCTTAAATTTAAATGTGCTTTTCGTTTGCAAAAAATTACATTCGATTCGAGTGGAAATTAATCCACTAAGATCTAACATTAGAAATTTAGAAAATATTTAGAAATTATTATTTTGGTGACCCCGAGCTCCAACATTGTGCACACTTTCGCATTTATTTTATTTATTTATATTATATATTTATATAACAAAAATATATACTTTATTT